CATACTAATGGTGTGTGCATTAGTAAGACGTAATGTTACTAAACCTTTTAAGCATTAATTTCTGAATATTTTATATCTTTCAATTCAGTTCAGTTCAGTTCAGTTGCTCAGTCGTGTCCGACTCTTTGCGACCCCATGAATCTCAACACTCCAGGCCTCCCTGTCCATCATCAACTCCCAGAGTTTACTCATGTCCATCAAGTCGGTGATGCCATCCAGCCGTCTCATCCTCTGTTGTCCCCTTCTCCTCCTGCCCCCAATCCCCCCCAGCAGCAGGGTCTTTTCTAATGAGTCAACTCTTCGCATGAGGTAGCCAAAGTATTGGAGTTTCAGCTTCAGCATCCGTCCTTCCAGTGAACACCCAGGACTGATCTCCTTTAGGATGGACCGGTTGGATCTCCTTGCGGTCCAAGGGACTCTCAAGAGTCGTCTCCAACACCACAGTTCAAAAGCATCAATTCTTCGGTGCTCAGCTTTCTTCACAGTCCAACTTTCACATCCATACATGACCATTGGAAAAACCGTAGCCTTGACTATACACACCTTTGTTGGCAAAGTAATGTCTCTGCTTTTTAATATGCTATCTAGGTTGGTCATAACTTTCTTACAAGGAGTAAGCGTCTTTTAATTTCATGGCTGCAATCACCATCTGCGGTGATTTTGGAGCCCCAAAAAATAAAGTCTGACACTATTTCCATTGTTTCCCCATCTATTTCCCATGAAGTGATGGGACCAGATGCCATGATCTTAGTCTTCTGAATGTTGAGCTTTAAGCCAACTTTTTCACTTTCCTCTTTCACTTTCATTAAGAGGCTTTTTAGTTCCTCTTCACTTTCTGCCATAAAGGTAGTGTTATCTGCATATCTGAGGTTATTGATATTTCTCCCAGCAATCTTGATTCCAGCTTGTGCTTCTTCCAGCCCAGCGTTTCTCATGATATACTCTGCATATAAGTTAAATAAGCAGGGTGACAATATACAGCCCTGACGTATTCCTTTTATCTTTAATGCCATGTAAATCATGTTTAACTTTTTTGCTGCTGGTATATGGAAATGTAATTGACTTCTGTGTATTGATCTTGTGCCCTGCAATATTGTTAAATGTATTAGCTCTAGTAATTTTGATGGGTAAATTTCTTAAGATTTTCTGAGTACACAATCATGTTGTCTGAAAATATAGGCAGTTTTACTATTTCCTTTCCAACAAGTACATTCTTTTTCTTTTTCTTGCCTTATTTCTTCTCTATTAGAAGGAAAGTATTCAGTCTTTTGCCATTAAGTTGTTAGCTAGGTTTTGGTAGATGCCCTTTGTCACAGTAAGGACATTGATAATTTGTGTTCTTTTCTTTGTGTTTCTCTTGTTTTTTGATCAACCCAGCTATAGGTTTTCTGATTTTATTAAACTTTTCAAGGGACTAACTTTTGGTTTCACTAATTTGCTCTATTGTTTGCCCATTTCTGTTTCATTGTGTTCTACTATTTTTGTTTTCTTCCTTCTACTTACTGCAAATTTAAATTTGTTCTTCTTTTTGTGGTTCCATAAAGTAAAAGTTTAGATCATTAATTTTAAAACCTTTTTTTTCCTTTTCTAATATTAACATTTGGAGCTACAACTTTCCCTATAAGCACTGTGTTTCTGCCTCTCATAAACTTTGATGTGTTGTTTTCTTCACCATCAGTTGGTTTGAAATATCTTCATTTCTCGTGTGAATCACAGTCACTTTAAATGACTCAATTTAAATCTTATATCTTCTCCTTTCTGATGACCCTAATGTATTTTCTCTTTTCCACCTCATTTATTATATATTTTCTCTGGTGGGGGTGATTTAGTCGCTAAGTTGTGTCCGCTTCTTGTGACACTATGTACTGTAGCCCATCAGCCTCCTGTGTCCATGGAGTTTTCCAGGCAGGAGTACTGGCTTGCCAGTTCCTTCTCCAGTATATTTTCTCTGTGTATTCTTATATTCTGTCTTCGTCTCTAATTTTTTTATGCATACACATTTGTTTTATGTGTGTGTCTTTTACTGACTCCCAAATGAACACTAAGGGACTCCATCATTGTAACCTTTTTAAGTACCTTGTCTGTAGTTGGTTTACAATTAACAGACATTTCTTAAGCCATTGATGTAGGATCTCTTGTGGGTGATGAAGTTTGGGTATAATCTAGATATACTTAAAGTTGACTAATTTTTAAAAAATATCAACTAATGACGCAAAATAGTATGTAATAAGGGCTAAAGAAGCAGAATCATCATTAAATACACCAGGTAGTCAGAAGAGGGAAGGGAAACTGTAGGTTAAATTGTCTGAGGAGGACCTCAGAGAGGACTTGGGATTTGAATTGGCCCTGAAGTGAGGTGGGATTTAAGTGAAGAGGAGGAGATGCATTCCAATGGTAGGAAAGTCATGTGCAGTGGCCCTGGGGTATAAATGGACACTGCCCATTTGGAGGATGCGGAGAGAGCAGCATGGGAGGAGCTAGGGGAGAGAAGTCAGGATGCTGGCCAGCAGGGTATGGGGTTACGGGTTCGGCACATTCATTTCTGACGGCAGACCTGCTGTGCTATCTTGGTGCTCATTGCTGCTTATGCAACTATGTCTCTTCTTTCCTCCTTGGCCTTCTTATTCTGCACCTGCCACTCAGGGCTTCTCAGCAGGCTTCCTCAGCTTTCTGAGGAGCATGGGAAGGAGTTTCCAGGCCATCCCTCCTGCCACTTTGCACTTGGGCTTGGACACTCTTTGTTTTCTCTTGGAGATTTGCTTTCTTGGGAGCCTCTGGAGTCCAGTCACTCCTCTGAAGCAGCAGTTCTGGTTTTTTAAGGCTGGCAGCCAGGAGTCCTGGTGATTTGGTTTGTTTCCAGGAAATTCTAGCCTAGCTCCACCCTCCCTGCCCAGCTCAACAAGTGTCCGCACCCTTAATTGAGAAGAAGGAAACCACCTTTTCCAAATGAATATCATAAAACAAAGAACCCAAGAGTACTTCCCTGGAAGACCAAAGCACTTCTGACTACAAGTCAACACTGACATTGACCCTTTCTACCCACCCGTTCCTTCCCTCATTCCCTCAGGAGTCTTTGTTTTCCTTGTTCTAGTGCATCTGTCTGGGAACGCAATAGGCATTTTCATCCCACTGAATTTTACTGTAGACCTTTGGTGTGCATAATATTAAGCTAGACTTTTGGTGTGTGTGTGTGTGTGTCTGTGCAGGACCTGTCTGAGACTCAGAAGAAGCTGCAGGCACTTGGAGTGGAGTTGGGCCAGCAAGGCTACTCACAAGGAGGGGTGGCAAGCAGCAGATTCAGGAGCTGGATGATCTGAGAGCCCAAAGGAGGAAGCATTAGGGCTACTCAGGGAAGGCTTCCAGAAACCCTGGGGCTGGAGGGGCTGGATTTGGACCAAGACGAAGAATGGTCTTGGAGTTGCCACTGAGCACTGCATTCCAGGGGGAGTTAGCAGTCTACCCTGCTGAGACAGAAGAGTGTGTGTGGAGCAAGGAGGGTAGAGAAATGAAGCTTTGGTAGAAGCTATTTCTTTAGGCTTCCCAAGGCCTAAATCTATGCTCAAACAACAGCCAGAACCCATAGAACTTCTAACTAAGATTTATTTGTATGTCCATGTGTAAAATTTACTGTGCTTACAATAATCCATTAAAAAAAATGCAATGTGAGTTATAGCCAGTTAAGTTTCTGAATCCATGTTGAAATCAGTCTCAGGCCTTGCTCCAGCTGTTCTCTCTGGGACCCCTGTCTGTTCAGCCAGGCCATGAAGAGTAGCAGCAAATGGAAGAGAGAAATTCTGCTTCTCCAGTGTCCTGGGCTGGGCCGACAGGAGAGAGGAATCTTCAGGAGCCGCCCCCCACCCCCTGCCTTGGCACAGAAGTACTTTCCAGCAGACAGAGGGTGGTGGGGCTGGACTGGGGGTGGCTCAGTTCAAAGCTCCCCAGGACACACCCAGAGACCACCTAACCAAGCTCCCTAAGGGCCTGGAGTCTGGGTCAGACCGCCTATCACATGTACATGTGGAGCAGGAACCAGGGAGCCAGCTGCATTAGGAGACACTTTAGTGGGTGTTCTTTAGAGCTCTTGGTTTGTTGGTGTGGGGAGCTGAGGGGACTTTGATTTTTAAAACACGCTGCATCTTTGGGCTACTGCTTTGGGAGACTTAGGCAGCTTCCTCCAACCTCAGAGCACGTAGTAGAATAAAATGGGAATAAATGACTCACTCGATGGACAGGAGTTTGAGCAAGCTCCAGGAGTTGGTGATGGACAGGGAAGCCTGGCGTGCTGCAGTCCACGGGGTCACAAAGAGTTGGACACAACTGAGCGACTGAACTGAACTGAGTTGAAATGGCTCACTTAAAGTTAAAAAAAAAAAATTCCTTCCCCCAAATTGGGGCCAGGCCATCCGGGGCCTGCTGGCTGCTGGTCTTCCCTTCCCGCTGCAGTGGGAAGCCGGTCCCTCCTCCCTCTCCTGGGGCCTGGCTCAGTGATGCCCTCGACGCTCAGACCAGGCTTCCTGGCCACGGGAAGAGCTGTCGGGGTCAAGCTCTGAGACAAGGGGGAGGCCCGAGTGAACGCCGTGCAGCCCTCGTTACGAGGACCTGTGGTGTGAGTGAGCTTCCCCTGCAGGATGGAGCTCACTCAGCAGAAGGCTGGAGGGGGGCTCAGTTCCTGCTTCCTGCCTGGCCTGATCGGGGCATGGTGGGGACCCAGGGACGGGCCCTGAGCCAGCCAGCTCCCTCGACCATGTGCCTCTCAATGCTCTGTCACTTCCTTCCTGTTTTGTGACCCTATAGTTTCATAATGCTAGAAAGTCTTCCACAGCTGCATGAACTCTAAACTTCTGTTTTGTCCTTTTTGGTCACATGTGCGTTGGAAGTAAGCATCTCAAAAAGTCCCGTGGCCGGCTTCCCCGGGTCCCCCCCTGCCCTGTCCTCGCTTTAGGCCTTGGGGTTGCCATCACCCGGTTCTCCATCTCATACAGTGTTGTTCTTCCCACCAGACTTCAGACATCCTCAGCACCATTGGCTATGACAGCATCATCCAGCATCTGAACAATGGCCGCAAGAACTGCAAAGAGTTTGAAGACTTTTTAAAAGAAAGGTACATGCCATTTTTTTTTCCTCTGAAGATGCAGTGGGCACAACGCTCCCACACAGACAAGGACAGTTTACGGGTTGTGTTTGTTTTCAGTGGTTCACAAGGCCCGCTGCTGTACATTACGGAACGATACCCAAGAAGTAAAGGATATCTTGGTCCTAAAGCTCTTAGGAACTCGAGGGAGAGGTTAAGTTTATGAATGAAATGACAAACAAAATGTAACAAAATGCTAGCTCTGTGATACCCGTGATACTGAAGGACCTCATGGGAGAGGGGGAGATTGTGGACGACTCGCTAAAAAGGGGGGCAGCTTCATGGAGGAGGAGATCTCAAAGGGTCCCTCAACTCGAGGTGGCTTGATGAGTGGAGGATCACGGGGGGACCGCAGGCTGGACCTGTGTGGTGAAGGGAGACAGAGCCTGGTTCAGAGACCGCTGAGCTGGGGGATAAGTGAGAAGGATGCAGGGGCAGGCCCCTCCGGATGGTGACGGGCTTGGAGGCCTGGGGGGATCTGGCATGGTTTAGAGGATTCCCTCCCCTCCTCTTCCTTTCCTTTAAGATTAAAAACATTCTACACTTAATAGCTAAGTTAGTTTTGTGGAATATCTCATTCATCTGGAATTCTCCATTTCCCAGTGATTCTGGATGAAGGAGTGGTTTAGGGGGATTTTTGGCCAAAGATCTGGGTTGTTGCCAGGACCCAAACTGATGAACCTGTTCTGTTTGTAAGGCAGTGAGTGAGAGATCTATAACTTGGAGGTACAGATAGCAAAATGTTTTCAATCAAATCTTTTATTTTCTACTCAAGATAACGTTGTTGTTTAGTCGCTAAGTCATGTACTGACTCTTTTGTGACCCCCATGGACTGTAGCCCACCAGGATCCTCTGTCTACTGGATTTCCCAGGCAAGAATACTACAGTGGATTGCCATTTCTTTCGCCAGTGGATCTTCCGGACCCAGCAATCGAAACTGTGTCTCCTGCATTGGCAGATTCTTTACCACTGAGCCACTTGGGAAGCCCAAGAGAGCATTGTTTAGTCGCTAACTTGTGTCCAACTCTTTGTGACCCCATGGACTATAGCCCACCAGGCTCCTCTGTCCATGGGATTTCCCAGACAAGAATACTGGAGTGGGTTGCCATGCCTTCCTCCGGGGGAGAACATCAAGGTAACAAAACTTACACTGGTTGCCCATGCTCTGATGGTGAAGCGTCTCCCCCTTGAACTATTTCAAAGGTCCCGGGGAGCTGAGCACTGACATGCTGTGAGTCTCTGGAGAGGTGGACAGAAAGACGTCTATCCAAGCTGGTAGAAAGTGATGATGCCAAGTTACAACTTTCCTTTCTCTGGGCAGGCACTGGAGGTGGGCTTCCTCCTTTCTTCAACAGAGCTCTGACAAAGTAGCAAACACACAAGAGATTCCCCACTGCACAGGGTGTAGAGATTGCAGAACATCCCTTGCTTTTGTGTTTCTCCTCCAGTAGGGCATTTATAAATTTTCTCCCGGAAGTGAAATAGCTCTGCCTCGCATACACGAAGGACGTGTTTGCTACTGGTCAAAGCTTCTGCAGCCCAGGCAGGTCGAGTCAAGGATCCCCTGATACAACCAGGATGGTGATGTGTGTCAGTGGTGTCTGCATTTTTTTGACTATACCCCTCAATAAGAAAAAAAATTCCCAGGCAACTCAAATGGTAAAGAATCTGCCCATAATGCCGAAGACTTGGGTTTGATCCCTGGGTTGGGAAGATCCCCTGGAGAAAGGCATGGCAATCCACTCAAGTATTCTTACCTGGAGAATCCCATGGACAGAGGAGCCTGGTGGGCTACAGTCCATGGGGTCACAAAGAGTCGGACATGACTGAGTGCCTAACACACACCTAGTTGAAATACATTTTAACTGCCACCCAGTACACACATGCATATAATAGAAGTTTGATTAAACATTAGCATCCTATTATTTTGTTCAGTTCTATTTAATTAAAAACTGCTGGTTATAATCCATTGAATTGATTTATGGTTTACAAATGGGTCACGACCCACAGTTTGAAAATCACAAGTCCAAACAGAACTCAAGAACTAAGATCACACTTTTAAAATGTTTCACAGAAATATGTGGGTAAGAGGAGAAAGCATGTGCAAATTAAAATTATTAAATATTTATGCTGTGTTTCTAGTATATGGTTATCTTTCTTCAGAAGTTTCATAGCAAGAGAAGACAGCCTCGTGTCCTCTGGTCTGGGGGCAGAATCTGCTGGCCTCAGGTCAAGGAGTCAGATATGTCTGCCCTGGGTGGGAGGCTTGAGGCCCTTGAACAAGGGGGCGGCAGGCTTTGGGCCTCCTTTCCTGCTGGTATGCTTGCCAGAAGGAGACTGCGCCATCAAGGGCGCATGTTCTGTTCACAGTTAACTCAGGAGGGGACGTGCCATCCTCTTCAGCTTTGGGGGGTCCAACATTTCTTTTTTGTTGTCATAGATGCAGGGTGTGTGTGGGGCCTGGGCCTCAGTCTGGGCCGTAGTCTGATATTGCTGAAACTCCCTGCTTGGGTCTTGAGCATTACTTTACTGAACTGCCATAAATTTCAGGTGGAACCCTGGGATATTTGGTGTTCGTATGGACTAGAGAAAACACACACAGGGAAAAGATAGCAGCAGTTTGTCATGTATCATTTATTATTTTATCCCTGGATCGGGACGATCCCCTGGAGGAGGGCATGGCAACCCGCTTCAGTATTCTTGCCTGGAGAACCCCATGGACAGAGGAGCCTGATGTGCTAGAGTCCATAGGGTCACAAGGAGTCAGACATGACTGAAGCGACTTAGCATGCATGCACATTTATTATTTTTGTTCATGAAGTGTGAAAGTGAAAGTGTTATTTGCTCAGTCGTGTCATGAGGAGTAATTACATACATTTATAACATATCTATGATATGGGACTAAATATGCCCTATATCTAAGGTGGTGGCCTCCTATGCCCCCAAAGTGTTGAAGCCCCACCATAAACCTCTCTGGAATTTCTGGTAGGTAGCTCTACCTGCCCAGGGGCAGCAGGGGGTAGGGAGAGATACTGCACTCCCCGGGGGCCCTCCCTCTTCCTCTCTCTCAGATGCAACTAGGACTGGGCCCCTCCAAGCTGTGTTTCAGCCTCCATCTTGGAAGCTAGGAAGTCTCCTTGCCCTTGGTTGTACCAGATGGACTGCAGTAAATCCATCTACACTCACTTGCACACGGACAGAACGGAGCCGTGTCACACACTCCTCTGGAGTGGGCAGGAGTGCTACCTTCTTTGCATCTGTATTGCCGATCTGGGAACCGTGTCTGTGTGTGCCCTGTAGCTAACCAGTCCCCAGTAAGTCCTGGATGACTTAATGTAACACAGCAAATAAGTAACAAAGCAGAGAAACAAATAATATATCAGGTAAATTGTAAATTGCCTTATCTTCTATCAGTGATGATATAGATGATGACAACCACAACCAACCTCTGAACAGCTACAAAATAACAAGTCACACATTGGGCACTTGCTGTGTGTTGCTCTCAGAGTTTTGTCTCAGGATCTTTGTTACAGTTGGGGTTTACAAATCCCTTTGAAATGCCCTCCTTTGACACAGTCAACTGCATAAGGTATTATTATTTCCATTTTCTTTGCATGAAAATGCAGCTTTATGAAATGAGATTGGATAAGTAATTTACCATGGGAACCTAGAAAGTGACAGAATCCAGAACAGCTCCAGAGGCATCTCACGCAGACCCTGGGTTGATGACTCAGCCACCGCAGACAGAAGGGCAGGTGGTTTCCAGGAGGCTGGGCTTGTTCTCAGCACAGAGATTTTTCTCCCTCCCTTTTCTCTCTGTTTTGTATTCTCACTCACCACCCTTACTCCATCTATCCCAGCCAGAGAGATTTATTAGTGAGTGTGTTTTGGATGTCTTTGCCTCTCCATATTTACTCCATATTTCCCCACCTAGAATGTTCTCCTTTTTCTGCAACTCCTAAGTAGATTCTCCCCATCCTTCAAAGTCCAGGTCAAATTTCCTTCTCCTCTTCTTCTTTTTTTTTTTTCCCTTTAAAGGAAGCATTCTACATAACACTCCAGCCTGAGGTCTTCCACTGGCTGGCAATTGAAATGAGCCTGTCTTATCACTGGTAGCCCAAACTTGTAGACTCTCCTGCCCCTGAAACCCTCGATGGGGCCAGACATTACGTACTGAGGTCCTGATATGGGCAGGAAATGAGAAATATAAAAATGAGGATAGGGACTTCCCTGGTGATCCAGTGGTTAATAATCTTGTCTTCCAATGCAGGGGATGTGGGTTCTTCTATCCCTGGCCAAGGAATTAAGATCACACATGCTGTGGGCCACTAAAGCCATGTAGCACAACTCCTGAGCCTGCATGCCCTAGATAGACTCTGTGCTCGGCAACAGAAGAAGCCTGCGTACCCCAATGAGAAACCCTTGAGCCGCAACAAGAGAAGCTTGTATGCTGCAACTACAGCAACCCCACGGCTGCTACAAAGAGCCCATGGGCCTCGGTGGAGACCCAGCGCAGCAACAATTTTTTACCAATGAGGATAATCATACTGCAGAGGGTGGCTAAGGCGACTCAATGAGATTATATCCATAGTTGCCATTTATTGAAGGCGTATTAGTTATAATAGACAGAGGAGCCTGGTGGGCTACAGTCCATGGGGTCACAAAGAGTCAGCCACGACTGAGCGACTATGCAACAACAACTATTAGTTATAAGCTACAATGTTATTTAAATATATTATCTCATTTAATTCTCAAAATAACCCTGTATAGCCAGTTTTATCATCATTATTTTACAAGTGAAGAAACAGAGATTCAGAGAGGTTATGTAACTTGCCTAAAATCAGACCAGTAATAAAGGGTTAGATCTGATTTCAAACCTAGGAAAGTTGGACCCTGGAATCTGTGCTATCAACTGCTTCAGCATGCTGCGTATAGGACCTGGTGCAGGGTAAGTGGTGGGTGAATGGTAC